CCCCAAAACCCCAAAACCCCAAAACCCCAAAACCCCAGAGTACATGAATCAGATTGAAACTCTTTAGCTTAACTATTTGCAGAGCCGAAATCGAAATGTCTCGAACTAGTTTCAAAATCGTCAAGAATCATATCAAATGCCCCACAAGGATTTCTAAAGTATAAATGATGGCTTGTATCAGGTACTATGTAGACCTTGTGGCCAGAATTTTCTAGCTGTTGCGATACATTCAATCCATTGTATCATGAATTCATCCAGTCTCACTCTCCATAATAAAAGGAGATTTCGATATCGAGTTCTTCATATTCATCAAGATAATTTCATATAGCATATTTGCTTCTATTGAAATGAGGAAACATTTTAACAAAGGCTGACTCGCTACCTTCTTTCCTCAAAGTTATCTGTTCAAGATATTGCACAATAGCTTTTAGATCTTTTATGTCAAGTTCGTTGTCAAATCTTTGGCGTATAGCCATTTTTACAATGAAACCACCTAGCAATCCTCCAGCCTTTCTGGCCATTCCAAATGGAGATATATTTTTGTAAATAGTTTTAAAAGCTTTAAGTTGGGCTCTAGTTTTCCAAGATTGATCCTCAGTTTCTCTATCAAAGTTAAGAATCTGCTCCTCAGTTCAAGATTCACTAGCCCAAGGTGAAAATAATAATAACTTGTTAATTTTTCTTGGATAGTGTAGAGCATATTTAGAACAAATGAACCCACCAAACGAGTGGCCCAACAAATTCATTTTGCGAATGCCAACTTTTTGCCTCCACTTCTCGATGGAGTTCACGAAGTAGTTCTCTCATTCCTGGTAGGTTTCTCAATCAAAGTCTCCTCTGTTGCTTCTACCCATTCCGAGGATGTCGATTAAGTACACATGGAAATGCTGGGAGAGTTGTTTGAACATTTTGAAGAAGATCATTCCAGCACCACCGAATCCGTGAACAATCACAATGTGAGGTTTTGAGGTGTCACCGAACTCATAAGTCCAGATGTATTCATTGTCTTCAATTGGAACATAACGTTGTGAAGTACCTCAGAAGCATACCCAGCTATTTGATTGTACATACTCCATTTGTTCATTATAATCCTCCTTCCAATCTCTTGCAGTAAAAGTGAACTTCACAGGATACGACTTAAACTCTTCATCTTCCAACCCTGCAAGTTTCACAAGTACATCCTCCGCTTTCTGTAATTTCTCATCACTAGTCCAAGTCCAAAAGCTTGCCATTTTTAAAGTTATTTATTATATCCACCAAATAGTGATTCACCGGGGTTTTGGGGTTTTGGGGTTTTGGGGTTTTGGGGTTTTGGGGTTTTGGGG